ATAGATGGGTTCCTAGAACACTTACCTAGTGAGGGAAGCCTGTACTACAAGGGGCCCACCCTTCAGAAGATAAATAATGGTTTTTTGGGTCCCCCCCTTGTATTCTGGCTACAAGTGCTTTGTTGGATATCTAATCTGCAAACATTATCTCCCTGTTTGTAGCTTGTCTTTATGTTAGCTTAGCTATCTCCCCAAAGCAAGAGTTTTTAATTTTGATAAAGTCCAGTTTATCACTTTCTACTTTTTATTTTGGTGTCATATTTAAGAACTCTTGGTCCATTCCTAGGTAACAAAGATTTTGTTCCTTTTTTTGCTAAAAATTTTATATTTTATGTTTAGGTTTATGATTCATTTTGAGTTAATTTTTATATAAAGCAAGAGGTTTAGGTCAAAGTTTTTTTTTTCTTTTCATATGGATACTCAGTTGTTCCAGTACTGTTTGTCAAAAGACTATGCTCTTCTCATTTTACTGACTTTGCACCTTTTCAAAAATCAATTGACCATGTTGTATGGAACTATCTGTGGACACATTTTATTCCATTGATTTATATGTCTATCCCTTTGCCAATATCACACTGTCTTAATAACTACTATAGCTTAAAGTCTTAAAATTGAATAGGGTGATTCCTCCAACTTTGTTCTTTTTAGAAAATTTGTTTTTAATAGCTTCGGTTACTTTAGTTCTTTTTTCTTTCCATATTAATTTTTGACTTAATTTCTCTATAACTACAAAAGATCCTGGGATTTAGACTGAAATTGAATTAAATCTGTAGACCAGTTTGGGAGAAAATTGACATCTTTACCATTTTGAATTTTGTAGTCTGTGATCATAGCCTGTATTTCTATTTACTCAATTCTTCTTTGACTTACTTCATCAACATTTTGTAGTTTTTAGGATATAGATCCTACACATATTTTATCAGATTTATACGTAAGTATTTTGGTTTTGTGGAGCCATTTTGAATGGCATTATTTAAAACTTTGTAGGTTTCTAATTGATCATTTTTTAGTATACAGAAATATAATTGACATTGACCCTATTTTTTTACCTTGATAAATTCATTTATTACTTCCAGGAGGGTTTGTATGTTTGTTTGTATTCCTTGGAATTTTCTATGTAGATAGTCATCTCACTTGCAAATAGGGACGGTTTTATTTCTTTCTAGTCTTACCAGTCTGCAGTTATTTCTTTTTTTAACTTTTTTAGTCCTCACCTGAGGACATGCTTATTGATGGGAGAGAGAGAAAGAGGGAGAGAGAGATCAATGAGAGAAACATCAGTAAATTGCCTCCGGTATGAACTGTGACTGGAATCAAACTTGCAAACTTGGTATGTGCCCTGATGGGGCGTCAAACCCACAACCTTTAGGCGTATAAGATGATGTTCCACCCAACTGAGCCACCGACCAGGACTGCAGTTATTTCTTTTTTAAATGTTTGGTAAATTAGTGAAATCATCTTGGACTGGAGAATATCTTTTTTTTAAAGTCTTTTAACTACAAATTCAATTTATTTCATAGTTATGGGACTATAACTTAGTATCATTGTGGGTGAATGCTGGTAGTTTGTAGTTTCAGGGAGGTGGTCTATATAATCTAAGTTGTCAGATTTATGTGCATAAGATTGTTCACAGAATTTTCTTATTATTCCTTAAATGTTCGTAGGGTCTATGGCAAAATCTTATGTATACTGATACTGAGAATTGGTGTTCTTTTCCCTTTTTGTCGGTGCCAGTCTTTCTTGTATTGAACTTTTCCAAGAACCAATTTGGGTTTTATTCATTTTCTGTATTATATTGCTGGCTTCAAATTTATTGATTTCTCCTGCTGTTATTTTCTCCTACTTGCTTTTTAATTTGCTCATTTTCTAATTTCTTAAAATTAATCCTTATTAATTTTAGGCTTTTCTTTTTTTCTAATATAAGCATTTAATATTATAATTTATCCTGTAGCTACTGCTTTGGCTGCATGCTATAATTTTGATTTGTTATATATTTAGTTCAGTTAAAAATATTTTCTGTTTCCCTTTGAAACTTCTTTTTTGACCCATGGATTGCTTAAAAGTGTGTTTTTAAATTTCCTCCTCTTTGGAAGCTGTTCTGTTATCTAATATTGATATCTAGTCTAATTTTATTATTGATCAGATAATATCCTTTATGTGATTTCTTTTCTTTTTTCAGTTTGTAAAAGTTTGTTTTATGATCCAGTATATTGGTTTTCTAGCACTGTGTGCAAAATTTTTAAAACTACTGTAAACAGTGGCTTAAATAGCACAAATTTATTATCTTACAGTTCCGGAAGTCAAGTTTGAGACCAGTTTCACTGAGCTAAATTCCAGATGTCAGCAAGACTGCATTTCTTTCTGGAGACTCTATGGGAGAATTTTTTTGTCCTTTCTGCCTCCTAGAGGTGTTCGCTTTCCTTGGTTCATGACCCCTTTCAGCAATAGCCTCATTACCTATGGCATTATATTTAAAGAATGTTTCCGCTATTCTTTTTTTTCTTTCTTTTAATTGGTGTTTATAGATCTTTTACATTTATGTAATTATTAATATATTTGGATCTGTGCCTACCATTTTATTTCTTCTTTTTGTTATTATTGTTGCTCCTGTGTTTTGTTTCTATGTTTTCTCTCCCTACCTTCTTTCAGATTGAGTTCTTTTGTTTTTGGTTAGGTATTACATTATAATTTATTGATTGTGTTTTAAACTATATTTGTGTGGGGGTGTTTTTAGTGATCACTCTAAGAATTACAGTGTACTTAAGTTTACAGTCTACTTAGGGTTAATTTTTTATTCAAGTGGCAATAGAAATGTACCACCATTCTTTTTTATTGAATTTATTGAGGTGACATTGGTTAATAAAAATTGTATAGGTTTCACATGTATAATTCTGTAATACATCATCTATATATTGTATTGTTTGTTTACTACCCCAGGTCAAGTCTCCTTCCATCACCATTTATCCCTGCTTCTACCTCCCCCACCCCCATTTCCCTCTGGTAATTACCAGAAAAAAGAAAAAAAGAGAAATATACCACCATTGAAGTCACTTTACTTGCCCCCTTATGCTGTAGTTTTGTTACATATTACATTGTATTACATACATATTAAAATATATACATTGGAAGCCCCATCAGATAACATTTTACTTTTTTACTACTTTTAATTATCAAATTTATTTTAAAATACTCGAGAAGATAAGAATAGTCTGTTATATTTACTCAGATAATTAACAATCATGCTGCTCTTTCTTCATTCCTGGTGTTTCAGGTTCCTTATGATACCCTTTATCATCTTTGGAAGAACTTCCTTTAGCAATTTTTTAAAGTAGTTCTGCTGTCAACGCATTCTCGTGTTTTTCTTCATCTAAGACTGTCTTTCTTTCACCTTCATCTTTCACGATTTGTTTGTCTTTTGTTGTCTGAAGTCTAATTAGTATGTATCTGGTCATGGATTCCTTTGTGTATATTTTGTTTGGGGATTTGCTCTGCTTCTTGCATCTGTGAGTTATGTCTTTGAACAAATTTGGAAAATATTTTAAGATACTTTTATTACACTGAACTCTTCTCTTTTGCTGGGATTCTAGTGTCACAAATATTGAACCTAAGGCACTCTTCTTTTTTTCAATCTTTTTCTCTCTATTGTTCACATTAGATGGTTTCTACTCATTTATATTAAGTTCATTGACTTTCTTTTCTCATCTCCATTGTACTGTTGAGCTCATCTAGTGAGCTTTTAATTTTGGTTATTGATATTTCTCTAATTCTAAGATTCACATTGGGTTCTTTATATCCTCTGTTTATTTTGAGTCTTTCTGTTTTTCCACTTGTTTTAAGAATGTTTGATCTTACCTGATACAACAGTTAAAATAGTTGTTTTAATATTTTTATATCTTTCTTAGATAATTCCTGTATTGTGTTTTCTTGGTGAAGGCATCTTTTCTCATGTAAACTGAGATTTTCCTGGTTCTTTTATGTCAAGTAGTTTGGGATTATATCCTGAGCACTTTGACTCTTATGTCTTGAGATTTTGGGTCTTGTTTAAATCCTATGCAGAACGTTGATGTATTTGTTCAGTAGGCAATCAGCCCCTTTAGGGTTCAAACTGCAAGTCCTGTGGGTAGTGGTTACAACATCAATTTTTAAAGACTTTGCCATGCTATTTGGATTTGGATCTCTCCTGCATGCCCACCACCCATTGGCCATTCTGGAACTTGATAGTGGTCTGTCCCATGGGTTCAAGTCTCAAAGTCTGTATATGCTTGTTTGGCTCAGATCCACACATGTGCTGCTTGAGGGTAAGCCCAGGAGTTCATAAGCAACTTTGAAGTGTTGCTTTCTCAAACTCCTCCTTTGGGGTCTCCCAGTAATTTCTGATTCTTTGGGGCTCCTCTCTTCCATTCTCTGACCAGAAAGGGAGGGACTTATTTATCCCTCTCCAATGTGTATTACCTACAACTGTGTCGGTACCTAGGGCCAAGTGGCAGGAGGACAGAGGGAGAGGAAAACAAGCAACAGGGATTCGCCACATCCCCTTGGGAGCATAGCCACTCTGATCAGAGAGGAAGGTGTTCCTCACCATCAGTCTTAGGGTCCTGGTGGCTTCTATTGCCACAGCTGCCACAGGATGCTAAGCTTGAGGGAATGGAGTAAGAAAGTAGGGAGGCATATCCACACTTTTCTTGTTTCCACACTTTCCTTTTCCTAGAGCCCCCCACTAGACTGCTTCTGAAGCTTTCTGTGTGCTAATGCCTACTTTCAGGTGGGGCTGTATTAAGTTCAGGCTGGAAGAGACCAGTGGGAAACAAAATGCTCTTTTAGTGATACTTCAAATTCTGGTCTTCTTACCCAACCTGCTACTAGTGTTCACTTTTCAGAGTCCTCAAGTAGGTGCTCCATGTAGTCTGTCTTGTATATACACTCACCAAAGTAAAGTGTGACTACCCCATTTTATCTGGTACTGGAATCTGACTTACAAGTTTTTAATTTCGTTTTTCTAGGAATTTGACAAGAAACTGAAGTTTTGATCAAAAATTATTTTGAGTTTGAAACCAGACATGTATTAGAGTTTAGATTCTTTCATTTGATTAAGGTAAGATTGTTTAATAACATTTAATCATTTTCAAACTTATATTTTAATGTGTGCTTTATTAACACATTTTAACTTTTCAGTCTACCTGAGATCCTGACCTCAGAAAAGTTTTTCATGATTCCTTTGTGATTTGAATAGCTAATGGTCCAGGTACAACTTCCAGATATGAGGGGAACACGTGATTATATGTTTACCGAAGAGGTTGTATATTGATAATCAGATCTGTTTGCCTAGTGCAGGAGTTGGCAAGCTGTGGCCTACAGGCCAGTCACCTGTTTTGGTAAATACATAGTTCACCCATTAATTACATGTTGTCTGTAGCTGCCTTAGCACTATAGTGGCAGAGTCGAGTAGTCGCAACAGTGTCTGTATGGCCTACAAGCCTAAAATCTGGCTCTTTAAGACAATTTTGCTGACCCTTGGCCTACATGATCAAAACATGCTGTCCTACTGTGCTGTATAATTATGACGTGTGAGGTGGTAGCTAACCAATTTTTAGTTGTCGGTAAGTGCTGTCAAGTATGAAAACTACTTGAGGGTTTCAATGTGCATACGAGTAGATGTGCTCCTCCCCCAAGCCATACTTCTTGAAGTGAATGATCTGTACTATTTCTTAGAAAGAGGTATTAATTTTCTTAAGTAACTGATTTTAAAAATAAGACAGTGCTGTGAGCAGCTAAATGCCAAGTGCTTGTTTCTGAGTAGATCTTTATTTTGTATGGGTCTTTAAAAATAAAAGTTTATATGAAAAAAGTCAGGCTTTTTCCTGCTCTAAATTTTTTTCACATCAATGTACTTAATTATATCTTGTCTTTCTTCATAAATTTAAACAGAAGTAGTAACATTTTGAGAGTAGTGATTATATGTTTTTAGTATCTGTCTTAGTAACAGTGATTTAGATTATATGAAATTTTAAATGAAAACATTCTGATGTAAAACTGTGTTTAGTGCTTAAAGTTAGAATTATATTGATCTCTGAGGTTTATATTGAATTACATATACCTGTTTGTGATTCCTAAAATTATGAGTGTTTAAAAAACATAAGATAGAAGGAGAAATTAAAATTTGACCCTAGAGAGTGTATAAAATGTTTGCTTGGCTCCTCAGGAATCTCTTGGCTGAAAAAAAAATTTTTTTTAACATGACATGTAAATTTGAATTTCCAAGCAATCTCAGATTAAGTGCAGTAGCAAACAAAATACGTGATAAAAAGAATTTTCTTGTTTTGAATTTGTTTTGGAAACCAAAATTGTTAAAAGACATTTTTTGCTAGTTTTTAGACAATTTAACAAAATAAAATAAGTTTCTGAAATCTTCATCTCTTAAGAATCAAATGATTTGAAAAATACCCTCTATTATGTCATGTGGAACCTGATACATTTGGATTCCTAAAAGACATCTGTGAGGTATCTTTGCTTGCATTCTGAAAAGTGAGTTTAAAACTTTAAAAAGTTTACTTTTTAAAAGGAAGAAATATATGGATTTATTTTTAAGAATATCTTTGCAGACAGTTCTGACTTCCGCCAAGATGGAGGCTTAGGTGGAAACACTTTGCTTCCTCGCACAACCAAATCTAAAAACAACAAAGTTTTAACAACAATAAATGCAACCAAACCACAGAAAATCAAACAATACGGAGTCTAAAAACAATGAACCGCTCAGCTAAACCGGTGAGAGGGGCGAAGCCAGTAGCAGAGCGGATTGGGCAGAAAAGATCCCCTGACCCAGGGGGTGCGCAGGCAGCTGAGGGCGTGGATCCCATGTGCAGGGTGGCTACGGGAGGACCCAGGGAAGGCTTGGCGTGGCTGGCTGTCTACGGTCAAGTATTTGCGAGCAGATAAACCAGTGAAGAGTCATGCATTGAGACAGACCGCGCAGGCCCCGGCACAGGACGGCGGGCTCGCACATTTGCGCTCTGATAAACAGGCGGGGGGAGCAGAGAGGACTGCCATTGCTCCCTCTCTGACCCCGCCCCCACATACAGCATCACAAACCAGCGACCTGGGTGGCCCCGCCCTGGCAAACACCTAAGGCACCTCTCCTCATACATAACAGGCACAAATAGATAAAAACATGGCTCAAGAAGAACTCAGAGCCCCAGAGCCAATAAATCTAAGTGATGAAGAAATAGCCAAACTTTCAGATGCACAGTTCAAAACACTGGTGATCAGGATGCTCACAGAACTGGTTGATTTTAGTCACGAATTAGAGGAACATATGAAGGCTAAACTAATTGAAATGAATGGAAATGTACAGGAAACCAATAGTAATGGAAAGGAAACTGGGACTCAAATCAAGGGAGTGGACCAGAAGGAAGAAAAAAAATGACCAAACAGAAAAGAATGAAGAAACAAGAATTCAAAAAAATGAGGAGAGGCTTAGGAACCTCCAGGACATCTTTAAACGCTCCAACATCCAAATTATAGGGGTACCAGAAGGGGGAAATGAACAGCGACCAGTGGAAAACTTATTTAAACAAATAATAAAGGAAAACTTCCCCAATCTGGCAAAGGAAATAGACTTCCGGGAAATCCAGGAAGCTCAGAGAATCCCAAAGAAGTTGGACCCAAAAAGGAACACACCAAGGCACATCATCATTACATTAGCCAAGATTAAAATGAAGGAGAGAATCCTAGAAGCAGCAAGAGATAAGGGGACAGTCACCTACAAAGGAGTTCCCATCAGACTGTCAGCTGATTTCTCAGAAGAGATCTTACAGGCAAGAAGGGGCTGGAAAGAGGTATTCCAGGTCATGAAAACCAAAGACCTACAACCAAGATTGCTCTATCCAGCAAAGCTTTCATTTAGAATGGAAGGACAGATAAAGTGCTTCTCAGATAAGATCAAATTCAAGGAGTTCATCATCACCAAGCCCTTATTATATGAAATGTTAAAGGGACTTATCTAAGAAAAAGAAGATAAAAAAGATGAACAGTGACAGGACAGCAAACTCACAGTTATTAACAACCACACCTAAAACAAAAGCAAATTAAGAGGACAGCTAGATCAGGAGTGAACCATAGAAATGAAGATCTCAAGGAGGGTTAGCAACAGGGGAGTGGGAGAAGGAGAAGGGGGGAGAAGGTACAGAAAATAAGACGGTAGCATAGACGATAGATAGAAAATAGGGGGGAAGGGCAAGAATAGTATGGGAAATATAGAATCTAAAGAACTTGAGACATGTGTTCATGAACTGAAGGGGGGAATGGTGGGGGAGGGGTGTGCAGGGTGGAGGGGAATGAAGGGGGAAATAGAACAAATGTAATGGCATAATCAATAAAATAAAAAAATATATTTAAAAAAAGGATATCTTTGCATAGTTTTATACTGTGATACATTTTATATGTAAATCAGTATAAATTAGAACTAGAGTGCTTATACATATGAATTATAAAAGACGGATAAAATTAAGCTGCAGAAGAATCGGTAGGAATCCTGATCGGTTGAATATGTCAACAATGCCACCTTAGTATTTTGTGTACTGTGGTCTAAACTGGATTGCACTTGTAAAGTGCCTATCTGATTCATAGACTGAGACATATGCATAAGAATTTCCTTTTGTTTTTATTTTATTTTTAATACATTTAAAAAATCTCACCCAAGCATATGTTTATTGATTCTAGAGGGGAAGAAAGAAAGAAGCATCCATGTGAGAGAGAAACATTGATCGGTTGCCTCCTATACATGCCCTGACTGGGGATCAAATTCACAGCCTTTTGGTGTGTGGAACAATGCTCTAACTAGCTGAGCCACCTGGGCAGGGCAAGAATTTCCTTTTAAATGATAGATGATGTAAGAAGGTACTGCTAAAGCTTTTTGCCTCTATCAAAATCATATCTTAAAACATCTTTTTTAAAAAAAATTTCTGATTTGTATTTCCTCCCCACATTTATTTTATCTAATCATGTATTTATATCAGTGCACACTGATGGATATTTATTCTCTGGATTAGCATTGCAGCTATTGTTATTTATTTTGTTGCTCAAATTGTTCTAGCTTTGGCCACAGAGAGCTCTTTGAAGTTTGCTTTTGTGTTCTTTCAACATGTCTTATATGTTGTTTGTGTGTGTGTGTGTATGTGTGTGTGTGTGTTTTAAAGTAATTTCTCAACTTTCTGGCTCTGCAAGATGCTCGAGGCTCATCTTGTATTTTCCCTGCTGCAGGCCTGGAATTACCCACTTTCCAGGGAGCTCAGGTTCATCTTATTGGAAAGTAGTATTTAGAAACCAACTTCTGGGTACTAGATGTGCTCATTGCTACTGAAATGTTGCTGCTTCTAGGCCTTTCAGCTGTCAGAGATAGGAATGTATGCTTATTTACTAATCCATACATATACAGGATGAGGGCAAAAGTAGGTTTAGTTGTTTGTATGAAAAATAACAATAATTAATAAATAATACAAAAATAAGGTCTGTGTTTTTCATATTCACAACTATAAACCTACTTTTACTCTACCCTGTATATATATATACACATCTATGTTTATTTCTGTATGTATTATCTACCTGTATATACAGAAATAAGTTAGTTTATACTGATACCTCCAAATCCAATCTAGTACCATAGGGATTATTCTAGCATTTCTCTTTTGCTTATTTGCAACTACATTTACATATTTGCTATACATGTATAGATAGTAGTTTTAGAATTATTAACCCATACTCCTATGAGAAACAGATTTATCAAACAGAATGCAGTGTTTGTAAACAGTTCTTTTTTATCTTTATTCTCATAGTATCCAACCAAAATGCTCGTTTCCAAAGTTAATTAAGTGAGGTCTTCTCTGTCATATCTCCTTCGGTCTGCTATGTCATTCACTTCTAACACAGTTTCATTTGTCACAGTTTGCATTCCATCTTCAGTTTCCCTGACACCCTGGTTTGTTTAAATTTGTATTCTGTAAAATTCACTCTTTGTGTTGCACAGTTGTGGGTTTTGAGAAATGCATAGAGTCATGTATTTACCAACAATGGTTCCATCACCCCGTAAGTTCCTTTGTG